TGACAGCCTGTGGTACAATGCATTTGCCAGTGCCGCTGAAGGTGTGTGCCACCCGAGCATGAAAATCAACAAGCATAGCATAGAGTGTTGTGCATCACGGAGACGCTTGGTTGGTTTACCGTTGCTTGTGGGGGGGCTTGTGCGCGGTCGGCTCCATGGGGTCAGACTCCAACGCCGATTGCGAGAGCTTGGTCACTGCATCCGCCAGTGACGCACCAAGATGGGTGCATTCCAGCAGCACCTCCCTCCTATCCGAAAATCCTGAGGACCGATACTGGGGCCGTGTTTAGGGTCACGGGTGGCAGAAAGACCTGAGAAAGACCTGTTTGCCACAGGACTGGTTTCCGGATTGCTCGGGCGACGAGCTTGCCAAAACTGGGCATATCGCCCAGGTGATCTGGCGGGTTATAGTCAGCCAGATCGGCTGCAATGCGATCCAGGATGATGGGCTGGGCTTGGGTTGGAAAAGTTTAAAGTTTAAAGGGTATACATGATACGGGTGGGACACTGAGCATTCCACGCCCCCTGCACGCAGGAATCCATGCTGACTGCTGCGCGAAGCACATCGAGCACCTGCACGGGGGCCTTTACGAGCGAGATGGCGCTGGCCGTCATCGAGAAAACAGTCAACGACTCAAAGGTCCTCTCGGCTGGCATCCGCATGCGTCCAGTGAGCGCATGTGTTGGGGACCCAGAAGTGTTTCCTTAGTTCATGTGCTATTGGCATGAAATTAATGCAACGACATGGCCACACAAGTGAACCGGTTTGTTTTTGTTTGCTGCGGCTGCTCTCTGATCGTATGAGCTGCTTATGCTTGCCTGCTCTGATCCTATTTGTTGCTTCTTCATTTCTTATTTCGTGTTTGTTTTTACGCTTAGTTCGCTCCGGTCCTGTAATTTTCCGTATCTCAATTGTTTCCAGTCGTAGCGATTCTTATCCTATATCTTTTTTCCTTTCAGTATGTCGCGTATACTCGGCACTTACTGTATATAGACATGTCGAAGGCGTTGTATGTGTGCGCGTGCGCACGCGGGCGCTGGTGCGGGCATGTGTTCGGGCATTGGTACGTGTGGGTGTGGGTGGGGTGGGGGTGGGGGGGGGCTGTTTTTTTGTGCACGTGTGTGTGTGTGTGTGCATGTGCATGCATGCATGCGTGCGTGCCACTGAATAAGCACGGAATAAGCGCCGAATAAGCACGGGATAAGCGCCGAATAAGCACGGAATAAGCACCGAATAAGCATTTGTGTGCAAGGAGAAGAGCCAGCGGTGCCGACAGCTGATTGCAGACCACGTTTTCTGGTGTGAAGACACCAATGACGATAGCTTTGTGGGCCCCTGCGTTTTCGGGAACCTACTCCACATCCTGCCGGAGATACCGGCTGGCTTGGATTTCACCGACTTGGCCTCTTGTCAGTGAAACTCATGCTCAGCTTGCGGGCACATTGTTGAGACTCACGAGATGCCGTCTCACCTTCTAACGATTTCCCTGTGCCCAGGTTCGGAGGATCGATACGTCGCACTTCAGCAAGTGGCAGTACTGCTACAGGTGCCAGAAGGCGCATCCCGTGCTTGACCCGAAGCTGGAGAGTGACTTGGAGGTCGCTGGTTTGCCCTGCACAGACATGAGCCGGGTGGGCAAACGTGCCTACCATCAGGGACCGACTGCGCCAATCTTCATCGCACATGCCAAACTACATGTGGAAAGGCAGACTCCTTTGATTCTCCTTGAAAACGTACAGGAGCGGGGGAGCCGGAAAATTTCAGTCTTGCTTGTTTGCGAGAGACAGAACAATTCGTTGCAACTGTGGCCGGCAACCAGCACCCTGTTACAAGCCCAACTAACACCAAACCTTGCCATGACAGGACCTCAATGTGGCCATGGTGGAGTATCTGTACGGCAGGCACTATGTCCTGCATCCGTTCCGGGTGAATCCTGGAGATGTGGGCCACGCTGCGGCGTCCCGCCCACGGTTGTACATCATCCTGGCACACAAGCAACGGGTCGTGGAGACTACGGATGTGGAGATGCTGTTCCAGCGCGCGACATCGATGCTCCGGCGAACTGCGCAGACGCAGGTGCAGGACTACTTCGTCGCCAACACCCACGACATGTATCTCGAGGCTTCTGCCACTGCAGCGCAGCGGAAGAAACGCTACAACATAAAGGTGTCTGGCCCGCAAGCACTCGGAGTTGGCGATGGCTGGGATTGTGTTGCAACGTTGCAGGATCTGCAAGGGTTGCAATTGAGTCTGGAGGTTTAGATTTGAAAACGCAATCATGAGATTTGCAAAGGCCACAGGCTCGAGGGTCGATTAAGGGCTGAATAAGGGTTGATTAAGGGCTGAATAAGGGTTGATTAAGGGCTGAATAAGGCTTGATTAAGGGCTGAATAAGGGTTGATTAAGGGCTGAATAAGCCTCAAAGGCCGAATAATGCGACAAGATGCGGAACAGGGTTGAGTCAGAGTGTTGGGGCGAAAGACGATGGTTTGAGCACGGGCCAGTCTGTCCTTGATCCCCTAGGCCAAGTCGTGGAAGTACCTTCTCAACGAGCGCGAGAAGAAGACTTTGTCAGTGCTGACGAAGCAGTACAGGAAAAAGTTCAAGCGCAGTGCAGACACGGACCCCAACTTGGTGATCTTCTTAGGGGACAACCCAAACCACACTGTGGGCTGGTCTGCTACAAGCGGAAAGGTGCCAACACTACGCATGAACACAGGAAAGATGTTTGTGCCCAGCCGGCAAAGATGGATGACCCCACGCGAGAAGCTCACCTTGATGGGCTTCCCGGTGGTGCCTCGAGTGGCTCTGGCTATGGGGGTCCCAATGTTGCCCATCACGGACCACAGCAGAGCCGGCCAGGTGCTAGGAAACTGTATGCATTTTGGATGTGTTCTGCTGATGGAATTCCTAGCTCTCACATGTTTCTCACCCCGTGGTTGTTCCTCGGGCAGAGCTCGCATGGTACAGGTGTTGCCAGATCCCGACAGCGAGGCTGAAGATGGACTCTGCACATAGTCTAGTGTTTTCGTTGCGAGACACAAATTCAGAATCCGCTGAGAAGTGACAGCCGCGTGAAACAGTGACAAGGGAAGTGTGGGCAGTGTAGTCCATGTCGCGCGTGTCCCGTTGAACTGTGGATTTCGCACTGGACCTGATCTCAGAAGTGTTGGGACTCAAGCCGCAAGTCCGACCTTTGAAGATATGCCACCCGCACCGAAAGCCGGGCGTGCGAAAGCCGCACCATCGAAGCCGGGGGGAGCGAAGACAGCCAAGAGACAGAAACTCTGCCATGTTTGATCTGTGGTCCGAGGGTTCTTTGCTACCAGGGTTTCGAGCGTTTCACGGCTGTAGTAGTAGTAGTAGTAGTAGCCAGAAAGTCCCCCCCAAACCAGCAGTCGACCAGCCGGAAAGTCACACCCAAAACAAGGGAGGAATAAGGGAGGAATAAGGGCGGAATAAGGGAGGAATAAGGGTCAATAAGGGTCGAAGCCTTACCACACCCCGGCCACAACCCGCCGCAACCACATCTCCCCCCCAAGCTCCAATCTGGATTTTAGCCAGGGCCAGTGCCCGACCGTCGAGCGAACCTCCTTCGAAGTCCGCCCGCCACGCCGAGAAGCAACTTGTCGGCAAAGGATGCAGAAGGCGTTGGGGCGGGGCCCATGCATTATCGGTGCTTTAGCACCCAACAAAGGCCTGATCCAAAGCGGGCCGCCCCGAATCCGAAGCGAGAACCCAAGCAACATGGCTATTCACCGTTTCACTTAGCTGCTTTGTAATATACTTACACATTGAGCACATGCTGCCGACCACAGACCCAGGGCCAAAGCTGCGCCGAACAAGGAGACCGTGGCCCCGAAGCGATCGATCCGCAGCCCAAGCAGCGACGAGGAGTTGAAGTTTCCGGGAGGAGCGAAGCTAGACCCCGCCCCACGCACCAGCGCGTCAGGGGCCAGCCGCAAGGTGAGGTCTGAGGTGTACAAATCTCAGAAAATCTTGAGCAACTTCGTGGATCTTTGGCAAAATAACTACTGCGATTGTTCTCCGAGAATCTCTCTGTCTCTGTCTCTCTCTCTCTCTCTCTCTCGCTCGCTCCTTTTCCAATTCCTCTCTCCGAGTCTCTCTCACTCAGGATAGCCACTATCGCGGCTGGTTGGAGGCCTTGGAAAGTGACTATTTGACGGACAATGTGCTGAAGCATTGCTCTCGGAACGACTTCTTCGCGTTTATTGCCTTCCTCACGGGATGGTCTCCCGATGATAGCTTGGTGGCCCCCGACAAAGCCGGCTACGTAAGAGCTATCAAGGCCCGACCGCCCACCCTCTCTCCATTGCATCCCTGCCCCTCCCCTCTTGCCAGGCCGAATCGAGACGCCGCGGAGACCCACTCGAGAGAACAGCGTGGACGAGCCGGGCCCGACGGTGCTAAAGTCCCCTAAACCCGTAAACCCCTAAACCCCTAAACCCAAACTCCTCATCCCGCCCGGTCACAGGATGTACGCCGCTACTTGAATTACCAGACAGCTGCCGTGACCGCCGGCGTTCTGGACCCGAAGCAGTTCGGAGGTTGGTCGTATATGCTGCCGCAGAAGCGGGGAGATGGCCAGAAGGCGGCGATGCTTCCCGAAGTCATCGACTACGAAACGTCTGGCACAATCTCGATGAAGTGCCTATTCTGATATAGTATGGTCTCCGACATGCTGATTGTGAGTATTGTAGGTGTAGACGGGAATTGTGGTGGGTTTCCAAGTGTGTTTTAGCTTTATAAGTCCGGTGCATTTCCCATCATTGATCCATATTGGTCCAATTCCCAATAATATCATGGGCTAGTGACTAGTGGCGGATCACCGAGGTCCTATTAAATAAATAATTTATCTGATTCAACCTGAAATTAGGACCCAAGAAGAAACGCTTAAGCCTTATATTAGGGACAGCAACGAATAAGAGCAGCATAAGGGCCACATAACGGTCGAGTAAGGGAAACCAGTGACGAATAAGAGCGGAATAAGGGCCGAATAAGAGCCACATAAGGGTCGAATAAGGGAAACCAGTGACGAATAAGAGCGGAATAAGGCCCGAATAAGAGCCACAGAAGGGTCAAATGAAGCAAAATGCGAGTATAATATAAGGAATATAGCTGAATAAGGGATCTAGGACCTAGGAACGGATGATTATAAGGGGCGAATAGTGTATTCTACATACGAATTCATTCTGTTTTTGCTGAAACCCACCACCCACCACCCACCAAAAACACCCACCCACCCATCGCCCTGCGCGGAGCCCCCAATACAAGCTCTAATTGTGCCGAGGCGAGCCAAGACCGGGTTGCCTCCTCCCAAAGGGAAGAGGGAGACAGTGCCGAGGGATCCACAAGCCGGAGTTGCGGCCGCCACGATGCTGCTCAAGGGCATGAGCTGCACAGGACGCAGTTTTTTGTGCAACACCCCAACCACCCTCGGCACCCCAACCACTTCTTTCCAATCAGAGGACCATCGGTGCCGCAGCTCGGTGTGAGTCCGAAAGGGGCTGAGGCAGAGGTCCAGCCGATCAAGGACAAGGATCAGGGTGGGAAGTACCTTTGCTGCACTGTTGGGCTGCGATGGCAGAGGTCTGATGCCGACATGCTGCCAAAAAGGATTGGATCCCTGGGTGCAGTGGCAAAGACAAAGGCTAGGGCGGGCTCCACGACAACCACCGGTGATGCCAAAACCTCAACAGCCGCCCCTGCACCTTGCCTTAAACAGCGAGAGCGCTTAGCAGACCGGTCACAGACGTGCCTTCCAGGCTACGGACTTCGAGGACTCCATGAGCAAGGCCGTTCTCAGTGCATACTTCAGCGGTGGATTTTCAAGCTACTGTAAAACTCTTCGGCAGGTGAGCTTCACCGACAGCGAAGAGGCCCCAGCGGATGACGAGGAAGATGCAATGGAAGCCGAGGCAAATGAAATGAAACACGTGTTTGTGGCGATTGACGAAAACTCCACTCGGTTCGTCGTGGACACCAGTCTGCGAGCAAAAGTCGCGCTTCCCTCCAAGCATGGCGAGTGGCGCCTAGTGCTGCGGGGGGACGTCATCTTCTTGGAGGCAGTCGGCTCTTTCACGATTCGCGACCGCCCGGTCCATGCCCTGATGACGTGCTCCAAAGTCCTACCGCTAGAGCAGCCTGGCCGTTTAAGGGATCGAAGCTTTCGAGCGCACCGAATTTCCAAAACAAGGGTTTGTGAGATTCAGAGCCTTGCAAGGGATGCAGATGACCACAATCTGACGGTGGAGAGCTACCCGGCTCCGCCAGAGGATGCGGACATGGAGGAAGGGTCAGAGTTTGTAAATATTTTGTGCTAGTGTTGAGGTATGTTGAGGTCCTGGTTCAGGGACCCAATAAATCCAGGTTTAAGCCTTTTGGTGCAGGGAATGTCGGTGGGTTTCATTGCAGGTATATGTCTTGTTTGCAATGGGTTTCCCACTCCAGCTATTCTGGGCTAGTGGGTTCACCGAGGTCCTACTGATTCAAACTGAATTAGGTATCGTTCAGCCTTCCATTTGCGGGAATTAAGGGATGAATAAGAGCGGAATAAGGGCCGAATAAGAGCCACTTAAGGGTCAAATAAGGGAAATCAGGGGCGAATAATAGCAGAATAAGGGCCGAATAAGAGCCACATAGGGGTCGAATAAGGGAAATAGGGAGATCGGTGACGAATAGGAGCGCAAAAAGAACCCAACAAGAGCCACAAGGGTCGAATAAAGTATATCTCACATAAAAGCAATAGCAAGCTCGCTGGAGGGTTGCTCAGTTTCAAATTAACATGTTAATGCACACGCTTGTATATACGGAACATGTCACACGCGCTGCTTGTTACGTTCGGGCCTGCTGAAGGCTCGCCTGTTGTAGTCTCCTATATAGTCCATTAAACCCATCAGGAACCGCGTGCGTTCATCGAGGAGGAGGAGACGGGCGAGACAGATGATGACGATAAAGGCTTTCTCCTCGGAGGCACCGGGGGCACTGCGCATGACAGGAGCTAAACTCAGGCGAAATAAGAGCAGAACAGGGGCTACATAAACCCAAAACCCCTGCGCTTTCCAATTCTGCAGAACACACCACACCCGTGCCGCACCCCCAACCACTCTCCCACCCTCCCGCTCGATCTCCCTCACACCAAGGGTGGAATGCTCTTGCGGTTTCAGTGAGTCTAGGGATGGAGTACAAGTTGGATATGTATAGGTATAACTACGGGGTCAAATGTGGGCTGAATTAGAACGCTCAATAAGGGTAGAATAAACTTGTCCGATAGGTTAGAATATGTGGGAAGGGTGGGTTGATTAGCCCGAGGGTCCAGTGAACACGAGGGGGCACGAACAGAGCGGTATCCCTGTGGCAGAAATCGACCGCGAAGCCAACGACGAGGGTGAAGAGGAAGAGGATGCGGCCGAGGACCCGAGTGATGAGTGAGGCTGGCTGAAGCATTATAGGGTCCGGTCCCGACAGGTCTCTGGGGAAATGTCGTAGACAAACACAGTGCAGGATTTTTGGAAGTACCCAGGGAGCGTGCTCAAGCGACCGTGTAGTTTTTGAAAGCCATTTCCAAGATTTGAACAGGGCTCCAGCGTTTTGCGTATCTGCGGTGCCTGCTGCATGGCCATGTCCTCTCGACTTAGCCCCGATGTGCAAACTTCTAGGTCTAGCTCAGTTTAGCATGCCATGCCTTGAAAATAGTTTGATTGCCTTCATTTTGTTGCACGCGTGACTGTGTGTCTGTTTGTTGTGTAATCAGGCGACGCCTTGTGTGTCCAGAGCTTGCAGCAGCTCTCTTTTCTGCAGACCTCGCCGCCCCCGCCCGAGCTGACGCAAAATAACGCATAACGAGCGATCCTTGAGAGTAAGCAAAGTGGTCGCACGCTGGTGGCAAGCTTCCGTGCTGGAGGTAGTGCTCAAGACTCCACCCGATCGTCTAGGTATCTCTCCTGCATTGCAATGGCGGCAAAGGCTAAGACACCTCCCGTGAAACCTCCGCCGGACACGCCCCCAGCTCTCATCAAGAAGAAACGGGCCGCTTCACTGGAGCTTGCGCGTGTGTCCCCGCTGCAAGCGAGGCTGCCCAAGACATCCAAGACAACGTGTCAGAAGCAAGTGATTGAGACGACGCCACCCAAGCAACCCAGTGACACGATCCGTGGATGCAGTGGCGACGCCGCCCAAGAAAAAGACGACGGAGAGAGACCACCTCGTGAATGAGCACACGCCGCCTGCTGTACATCGCTATCCGAGAACCCCGCCTAGGAAATCCAAATAGGTCAGCCGGAGTCCTAGAACGTGCTCGCAGTGAGGCTTGCGGAAAGAAAAATAGAGCGAAGCTGGCAACCACCTTCAACAAATCCACTACTGAGTCACTCTCGTCCACTCGTCGTGCTGAGGTTCTGCCAGGAATTCTTCCGGAAGCATTGGATGGAACATCAGTGCTCAGGTGGGAGAGAGTCGGAGAGAGAGAGAGAGAAAGAGAGTAAGTAAGTAAGCTTGTGTGTGTGCACGCGCTAGGAAGGACTAAAAAAAATAAGGGTGGAATAAGCACAAAATAAGGGTGGAATAAAAGGAGGAAGGATCACGAACAGAATAAGGGGTGAATAAGAGCAGAATAAGGAAGGAATAGGAACCGAATAAGGGAGGAATAAGGGCCAAATAAGGAGCAAATAAGAGATACACTTAATAGAGTAGCTTGTGTAGCCTCGTGTACAGCCTCATGTCACGAGGCCGAAGCTCACCGCAAAAGAAAAGAAAGGCTTCTTTGTCACCCGCCGCGCAGCAAGCAGCGTGTTTCGTTCTTGTGCCGGGGTTGGTTTCTGCGGGGCATGAGAAACATGTGCGCTGAGACAAAGTCGTTGTGTGAACCAATCAGATAAGCAAGGCGGTCATCAAGATGATCCACCATGGCCTGGTAACCATGACAGGAATGGGGCTGGAGGAGTTTATTCCCGAGTACAAGCACTGCCTCTCGCTGGAGATGCTCCTGGACGAAGCGAATGTGAAAAAACTGGAGCTTCCGGCTGCGGCCACTCGCCCGTTGCTGCGTGCGGTGGAAGACGAAGAATCGCAGCAGACAAAAGCCTGGCGGTACATCTTCTCACGGCTGCGAGTGCGCGGAGACGTGGAGTCGGAGTTGGCGCATCCGCTGTGGAACTCCTACAAGCGAGCGATGGCAGATTCTGGGTTACAGGAATCGGCACTCAAGTTGTCGATATGCGCCAACTTTTCTCATGGCTCATGGTTATCGGGCGATAAGCATGAGCGCATGCGCGAAGCACTGTTCGCGTATATGGAGGAGCGCGGTTCGGAGTGGTTTGAGGAGCTCGCCGTGGAGCTGGGGTGGGAGTTCGACGGAGTGAGTGGCGAGGCCTTTCTTGATGCCTGCACAGTGCCACTTCGTCTGCAACTTATCAGAGCTGTCCCAGCTGTTCAAACCTAATTCCAAGCCTTTGCTTCATTTGGCAAAGCGGAGGATGCAAAGCAACGCCATGCGCCGCCGAGGCAAATTCGCGCCCTGGCAGTCAACTGGCAGCCTTTCTACAGCCCGGTTACAGCCCAATCACAGCCGAAGCGCAGCCGAATCAACGCTAAATCACGGCCGAATGATTGACAGGTGAAAACCAAAGCTTGGTTCGGCATCAACAGCAGCTTCCGCGACTTGATCGCGGATTGGCCGGTCCTGGCTGCCTCTGCCGTTGCCATGATGGAGATGTCAGGAGGAGATGCCCCCTGGCTTCGATACTACAGAGCACAGCACACACAGATGGTGTCGATTGGGGGGGGGGGGGCGCGTGTGCGGACAGGGGTTGGGGGCCGTTGCAGCTTGCTGGCGGCCAGGGCTCACGCGCAAGCCCTTCCAATGCAAGCCGTAAACCCTATAACGCAGCGCGTGCCTTAACTTGTACTTAAAATGCTACACAACCCTAAACCCCACCGAACTGCAGGCTCTATAAGCCTAAAGCAGAGCATACACCGCAAATCCTCCCTAAGCCCTTGTCGACTCGAAGCACAAGTGGAAGAGGAACCCCACACCCCACACCACAGGGGAGGGGGGCTGCGGAGCGCGTGACCATATATGAACAATAAGGGCGAACTAAGCTTCAAAATTCCTAAACTTTTGTCACCGTAAGCCATTTCAGGTGGATAACGACTCCGCGTCGGAGGCAGGAGACGAAGACGAGGCCGCGCCAGCAGATGAAGCAGAACCAGCAGGAGCAGAAGGCAGCAGACCCAAGCAGATCCTGACGAAACTTAGGCGTACTCGGAATTGTTCTTTTGATTTTGGGTTACTACACCAAGACACAGCTAGGACTACATGTTTGCACGGGTGCCAAGCCCACTATAGGAAAGCGCAGCTCTACAAGTACTACGCTGGCAAGGGTCCGGTGGAGCTGTTTGCCGAGTTCATGTTGCAGGGAGACCTGCGACAGCACGCCGTCATCCTGACAGCGGTCGGTGCTCCGCTGGAATCCAAGTACAAAGCCGACCTGGAGTGTCAGACGAGCGGGGACATCCAGGACATGATTTCTTGGTCTGTGAATCGTGCACAGGGCCGTGCCTGGTGGACCACCACTCAGGCCAGACAGCAGTTTCACGAGCCCGGGCCAAATATCCGTAGCTCTAAGTTCACGATAATCAAACACGAAACTCGAGGCAATCCTCGCCGTGCCCTTCACGTCAAACTTTATAGAGGAGGTGGGACTGACCCTGCCGATGAGACCCGCTCTGCCGACGCAGCCCCTCCATGCTTGGATGGTGGATACGTGGCTGCATGTGTTGGAGGGTCGCCGTAGAAGCGTTTCCGCCCTGCCACCGCATGTGCTGATTCAGTGGAGCGACATTTATTCTGAAGCTGAGGAGGAGCTCCGCATCATGGAGGATGCCCTGAGGTTCGCCACGTGTCTGGCCGGCAACGTGGCCTGGTCACAGGTCTGGGCAGGGAGCCTTGTCGCTGTGGGGGTAGGCTGCACACTAGAAGCATGTTCCCTGTGTGGAGGTCCAGCACCGCTTCAGCATGCCTGCAGCTGCCACGGTGCTATTGGCAAACACACAGGAGGAGCGTGAGGAAGGCATGTGAGACAAGGGCAGGGTAATGGTGGAATAAGGGGTGAATAAGGGCGAAATAAGACAAAATCCGGAAAGTTAAGGCAGCATAAGGGTGGAATAAGGGGTGAATAGAGGTGGAATAAGGCATAGCAAGCGAAATAAGGGCAGAATAAGGGCGAAATAAGGGGTGAGTCAAGCGGAACAGGAGAATTAGACTTCGGAACAGCTAGAAAACCCAGCAAATTTGGTTGTTTGTTTGCTGTTCTTTCTGTATTCTGTTGGCAGGCATGCAGTTTTTGCAGAAGATTGCAAAGACGGTGCTGCGACTGTGCAGTCTGGCTGGCCGCTCCAAAAAGCACGAGGAACTTCTTCGTGATATCGGGTGGACGAAAGAAACACTGCCTCTAGAAATCCTCGCGAGCTGCATAAAGAACGATTGGAGTGCTGACAATGAAGAGGTGAAGACGCTGATGCGACGCCTCAAAGGAGGCATCAGCCCTACGTTCATGTAAACACGAGGGAAGAACCGATTAGCTGAGCGTAACTTGACATGTCTTCTTCAGCACTAAGCCCTGGCAGGTGTTTCGACTACAAAGGATATTCTTGAGGCGACGTTCGCACATTTAACAGATGTGGCGAAGAGACACAGCAAGTCGCAGAAACTCTCCCACTACAGCCGGTGGCTCTACGCCACCTGTGCGCCGTACGCGCGGGAGTCTGCGCCGCAGTTGCTTCCGGATGACCAGGCATGGTTGGACCACAGAACCTCCGATGCCAACAAGTCCAAGGAGTTCCAGTCAGCGGGGAACATTCGGAAGCAAAAGCTCCCGGAGTTGACATATGGGGAAGATCTTCGGTTCCCTATGCGTCCCGCCCAGATTGTTTATCGGCATGCTGGTCCATTGTCGCATCAAAAGAGCGCTGCAGCGCTGGCCTACGCTATGCACGACTTGGAGAACAACTTCGGCAACTGCAGACATGCCTGGCTGGGCTCCCTGTTCACTCAGGGAGGCTGCTTCCTGAACGTTGACACGCAGGAGTACGTAATGTCAATGGGCTTCCGCGCTTGGGGAGCCTTGGGCATGCGTCTGTCAAAGAGGACTCTGGGCCCTGCTGGCAAGGCCGGTTGGAACCCAGACATTTCACGTGAACAAAAGGTAAAATTAGAGTAAAAGCCAAGCAGCGGTTAGATAATGGTGAAATACACTGGTTGAGTACCAGGTAAGGGCAAAATAAGGGCCGATTAAGGGTCACGTAAAGCGATGTTTCCCAACAGATTAAGGAATTAAGGGTCAATTAAGGGTCGAATAAGGTGACGTATGACAGGTTGGCTTTTGGAACATGAATTCGGGATCCTGCTAGGAGCTGCTGCTGATGGAGCCAGTCGATGCTGACACAGTCAGCGCACCCTACTGGATGCACAACTTCTCAATGACGACGACAAACTGGCTGGCTGTCTACACGACGACCATCCTGCCGTGCAGTGTTCCGGATGAGCTGCAGATGGAGGGCATCGGCTTCGTCCTCGAGATCGAGAATCTGGACGACCTCCCGCGGGCTGCCATCAAACGAGGAACCTTCCTGAAGGTCGAGCCCCTCAAGCAGCTCGTCCGGGCCTACAACGTTGAGCTGCCGGAGCATGGCAGTGGCGCGCGGCGCAACATCGTAAAAATCGACCTGGCCAACGCCCTGGTTCGACATTTGTGGATGGGTGAGGAAGAAGCGGAGCTGCAACGAATGATTGACGCCATCATGGGGCGCAAGGCCGCCGTGAGTCCCGAGGTCCTTCACATCGTGGCAGGGTTGGACCCCGAAAACCAGGAGGACAGAATGTTCAAAAAGATGCGACAACAAGCCAATGAAGAATTGGAAAAAAGCTTCGTGGCTCGTGGCAGAGCACAGCGGGACGTGGATCCGGACGCACACCCGAGACCGGGTGGGGCCGCAGCTCCTGCGGCCAAGGCTGCGCCGGCGGCGAAGGCCGCGCCGGCGCCCGTAGACTTGGAGCGGCACGAACACGAAAGAGCTCGTGTCCACCAGGAGCACACGCGCCAGCATAAGGCCAACGCCGCCAAGGTCAACCAGCTCACGCCGAGTTCTTTGAAGAAGCTTCTCCCCGGGAAGGGAGAGATTGCAGACGTCTTCAGCATCGAGTACCATCCAGTTCAGAAGCATTTCAGGGTGAAGTATCCTTGATTCTTGTCAGAAACATCAGCACTGCGTTTTGAGGGATGTGGGGGGGTATAATAGGGATATGGCCAGGAATTCTCGGTGTAAGGGAGGTGCTGGAGTAAAGGCCGGCTGAATAAGGGGGAATCAAGCATAATCAGCGGAATAAGGGCTGGAATAAGGGGTGACTAAGCATGGAATAAGGCATCATGAGCGGAATAAGGGCCGAATAAGGATGGAATAAGGCGTGAATAAGGGTGGAATAAGGCATATAGGTAGCCAATTAAGGGCAGAATAAGGGTGGAATAAGGGTGGAATAAGGCGTAGCAGACGAAATAAGGGCTGACTAAGGGTGGAATAAGGTAGAGCGCGAGAGTTAGCTTTCGGAACAACAGGAAACACCACAACAAAACTTCGAGCTTGAGTACTTCTGTATTCATCGCCTGAACACTGGGAACCAAAAGACAACAACTCAATATTTTAAACCTATTAAACACTTGCTGCTCTGAGAGCTTTGTAATCTTGGGAACAAGGCACCAACAAGGATCAACAGGGATATGGGTAGGAATTTTGCGGGTAGGGGTTGGTGGGTAGAGGGCCAAGTGGTAGGATTAGGCGACGCAGAGCCGCTGCTGAAGCAATCCTGTGTGCGAAAGTGGCCAACCCTTCGGTCTGCTGATGCTGTGGACGCCTTGCAGCAAGTCCTGGACTTCGCATACAGCAGATGGAACCGACTGAATGCGGAACGCCAGTTCACACCGTCTTTTGGCCAGATTGTAATCGGGTGCATGCCGGAATCTCCGGACCCTCAGCCCCTGAGATCAGACCCCTGAAACCCGAGCAGACTCACTGCACTCCTGTAGCCGACGGCACCAGTCTAATCCCTGCTCAGGCCGACTCGCGCGGAGCTGCAGGAATATTGCGACAGCCTGTCGGCTGGCTCAGCCGATTGAGGCGCGATGCACCCAAATATAAGTGCCTCAAAGTAGTTTAGGGAATGTTGTGATTCTCATAGATGCAGCACATGATTCGTGCGTTATTTCACCCTTAATCGACAGTTATTCTATTCGATTTTGCTTATTCCATCCTTATGTCACTCTTATTCGACCCTTAATTTCCCTAGCTCCATCCTTGATCGACAACAACTAAAGACCGGCCCGCCGCACTCCAATTGGCCCTGCTTCAGGACTCGATCTTCGACGACGTTTCACGCAGACGTCTGCTGGAGCGCACGAGCATCCACAAAAGGGCCAATAGATCAAGATGTACGCTCGCTAAATCAGCAACAGGATAGTGTATCCCGTTTTCCTAAACCCTAAAGAGTGCTTTTAAGACGACTGTGCCGCTCGTGTGCTCTTTACTTTCTGGCACAGACCAGACGAGCGTGCCAAATCGAACGGCGACTAACAAGGCCTTCCATCCTGGGCTTGACTCGGGGTTTAACATTTGGGCCTTGGGGTTTCAGGGCTTGTGGATGTAGGGGTTCCGCGAGTTCGCCGCGAGTTCAACCCTAGCACCAACCAGGACCACGGATTCCTGCAGCCCTCCAGGCAGCATGCATAGACCTCAACACAATGTGCCCCGTTGAGCCTTAAACCCCTGAACCTTCGGCTTTCCATGGCTTTCCTCACCCTTGTGAACTCTAAAACCCCTACCACAGAGATGCATTGTGCAATTCGTAAACCTCACACCATGAGCCCTCACCCCCAAATCCGAAGCTCAAGCCCTCCACCCACTAAATCACCCTTAATCGGCCCTTGTTTTCACGAGCTTGGCGGCCAAAGGAGGGCGAAAAATAAGGGTCTATTACCTAACTAATAAGCGCTTATCCAACCCTTGTGCAAAAATGTTCCCGAAAGCATCATCTCGCATGATTCTGGCACTAATCGCTGCTTGAAAACTGGGGGGGGGGGGCGTGGGGGGGTGGGGCGCGGACCCCTATGACATCAAGGCCTTTCTATCATAGTACCCTTATAGTATCCCCTGTAGACCCCTTTAAGGTTCCCTTTAAAGGAACCCCCCAACATAGTATCATGGGCTATTCTTAAGGCCCCCATGGTTGATGGGAGTGAAGATGCTTGGGGTAGGGATTCCTTAATATGAACCCTATTCTGGGAACTTTAATCCCTACTAAAGCTCCATTGGCTAGAACCCCTTTCGGCCTCCTAAAACCCTAAACCCTAAACCCCTAAACCCTAAACCCCTATATAACCCCTATACCCTAAACCCTAACCCCTAAACCCGAAAACCCCTTTTGGCCTCCGATGAATAGTCATCGCCGAGGCGCATGGATGATAGTACCCTTATAGCATCCCTTATATAGACCCCTTTAAGGATCCCTCTAAAGGAACCCCCGACATAGTATGGGCAATCATCAAGGCCTTTCTATCTTAGTACCCTTATAGTATCCTTTGTAAACCCCTTTAAGGATCCCTTTAAAGGAACCCCCCAACCTAGTATGGGCTATTCTTAAGGCCCCCAGAGTCAGCGCCAAGGCGCATGGATGGAGGGCATCTGTTGCCAGGATCCCAGGGCTCTTTGGCGATACTCCAAACGCCCATTTGGAAGCCGGGAGACTGGACAGTACCTCTGGGTTTACGAGGGTTTAGGGCTTAGGGTCTTAGGGTTTAGTGTTAAGGGGTTTAGGATTTACGGTTTAGGGTTTAGGGTTTTAGGGTTTAGTGTTTAAGGGTTGAGGATTTACGGTTTAGGGTTTAGGGTCCTTTTTGTTGAGGGCCTTTTTGCAACTGCACTAGAGTACCTCTGGGTTTACGGTTTTAGGGTTTAGGGTTGAGGGCTTTTTTGGGTGGACTTTTAACAGTTTCCTGACGCGAAGGCTTTAGACTTCTCGCTTCTAGGGTGTAGGCGTTTGGAAAGCGGTTATTTTGGGATTTAGAGGGTTGTTCAAGCCAGCTTGAGGTTCGGGCTTTTGGAGTTTAAGCTTTGAGGATTTGGGCGTGGTTTCTGCTAGGAGAGGTTTACGGAACCCAGTAGAACCCCTAAACAACCCGATGAAACTCTATCAACCCCCAGACCAGGTAGCCTCAAGTCTGAGAAACCCCATATGGGAGTTTCCGAAAATAGGGGACCCTAATATGGTACCCTAAATAGTAGGATCCTTCTTACAAGGACCCCAAAATAGGGTACCCTAATTTTCGGAAACTGCCATATGATGCAGGAGCTAGGATTTGAAGTCATGAGAAATGAGGGTCTAGGGTGGGTTTATAGCTTACAGACTATATACACCCTGGGCTTTCGGGCTTTGAAACTCTTGACTTGGGGTTCGCGTAGGGGCAGATGTACACAGCCAGATGGGGGTTTCCGAAAATTAGGGGTGTCTTGTTCTGGGGTCCTTATGATAAGGATCCCACTATTTAGGGTACTATATTAGGGTTCCCTATTTTCGGAAACTCCCAGATCGCTTTGTGAGGTTCAGGGCTGTGTTTAGAGTTCCGGGCTTATGATTCTTATGATTGACCATGTAGCATGGCAGGGCTGGACGCTCAGCACGCTGCAGGGGTCTTACACAGCAAGGAGCCCAAACATACTCCTACACTCTACACTTATACCTCGAGGAACATAATCTCCTACCCCGTGGTTTCGTCCAGGTGTCTTCTATGAAACAGATACCGACCAAAAAAAATCGATATCCCAAAAAGGGTAGGGTATGAGTGCACATAAACCCTAAAAGCCTGACAACCTAAACCCCATAAACCCTAACCACCTGAAACACCTTAAACACCTGAAGGTTTAAAGACCTTCAACACCTTAAACACCTTAAAAACCCTAAACCCCTGAGCACCTTCAAGCCAAACCCTGAACCCAGAAAGGCTAACCCAGAGGGTCCAAGCACCCAAATAGTAGGGTTCTAGGTCCCAAAATCCATACTCTGAATGGTTTTTGGACCTTGAAACCCTAACTTGGACCCTTAGGGTAAACAAATCAACTGGGCCGGGCTGCTCGCCCTCCATGGCATCGTAGCGGCTTGAATCAGGACCCATTCTGTGCAGGGCTTTCTTGGCTCGGCCCCATTTTGATACGATAAGGGCTAATGTAGAGCCTAAATGGGGCTTTTGGGTATCGTATATCATACTTATAATAAGGAACCCCCAAAATAGTATTCCTGTTCCTGTTCCCAGAATAGGATGGGCAACTTTTTAAGCCCTTATAGTACTGTAAGTCTTCCGTCTAAGCGTTCCTTTCAAGGTGCCCTAAACCATGAAAGAGCCTTTCAAGGAACCTTTATCTTTACGGGGTCGATAGGAAACAATGGGTTCAGGGATCCACAAGGTATATAGAGCATAGAGGGTTCCATATGGGACAGGGATCTGGCCAAAGAGGCTTCTCGAAAATGTCTGTTTAGGTCTTGTCTCCTGACCGTAAGAGGCATGATAAGCTTTCGAAAAGGCACCCTAATTTGGAGAGCGTCACAAGTGGCACAGTCATAGTAGACAGTCATCCACCCCTATGATAAACACTAAGCCCTCAACCCTAATCCCCGAAACCTGAAACCTAAAACCCTACTGTTCCCTGATTGCCTGATGGCGGCCACGGGCGGCCCGCCCGTCTTGCAGCAGCTGGTCTTGAACCGCGCCCACCTCGTGGCACGATGGGTTTAGGGCTCAGCCAGGTGCTGCGAACCTCTCAGATCCCGGGTTCAGGGTTTAGGGGTTTAGGGGTTTAGGGTTTAGGGTTTTAGGGGTTTAGGGGTTTAGGGTTTAGGGGTTTAGGAGTTTAGGGGTTTAGGGGTTTAGGGGTTTAGGGTTTAGAGGTTTAGGGGTTTAGGGTTTAGGGTTTAGGGTACAGGGCAGACGTCGAAATTTACATTTGCCAAGTTATGCAGGGATGATAATCGCTTAAGGTGTGGTCCTTAAATTTATCCTGAAGAAGCTCCCGTACAGTGCTTTGGACGTCGGGGCTGATGGGCTTAGGAGTCGGGGCTTTAGGAGTTTAGGGTTTAGGGCTAAAGCTTTGATAAAGTCACACTCCTGAACACTAAAAAGCCCTAAGCTCTAAAGCCGCCCCAG